GTCTACGAGTAACTTGGGCTTCATTGTATTTTGCGCATAGAGCATCGGATCGGCAAGCATCACGGCGCCGGCACTAGAGGTGTTCTTAATGCACAAAGTCTTTCCGTTCATCAGGGTAATCACATCACCAGGCTTAGCCGCCATGCCCGAGGGCATGTTCTCGCAAAGCGGCAACAAGGCCGAAACATTGAGGGGCAGGGATAATGCTGCGGCAGCTCGAATTGCAGCCACTACAGAGGCTGCTCCGCTGACGGCGCCACGATGTTCGTGCAGGCCTTGCTTGCTTTTCAGGCAGAGACCTCCGCTGTTGAAGGTTATTCCCTTGCCAAGCAAGAGCAAGGGCCGATCCTCGGGTGAGCTGCCGCAGTAATGGATCTCCAGCACAATGGGTGGCTCACAGGAGCCCTTGGCCACCATCAGAAACGAATTGAGACCCTGCGCTTCGATCCAGTCCATAGAGCGGACTTCGACGGTAACCCCGCATGGGCACAGCGAATCGATGGTAGCCTGTGCGAAAATGGAAGGCGTCATCTGGTTGGCCGGCGTGTCGGAGAGACGCCTCGCCAGATTTTGAGACTCGGCCTTGAAGAGGCCGCGTGTCCAGGCATCTACATCCGCCGAGCCGTACAACTCAAGCTTGGGTATATGCATGCGGTTATTCTTTCGTTTATTCACATTGTAGCGCCAGACGGCCATGGCAGCACCCTCAGCCGCTTGCTCCGGGTACTCCATGCCGTCGACGAACACGGTTTGTGCGCCCTGATATTGCAGAAATCTTGCGCCAACTGCGGCGGCAACTCTTGCGTTTTCCATGCCCACATCGAGCACCTCCTCGGCGTCATAGCCGATACCTTCCTGTCCCAGGCCAATAACTGCCACAGATGAGAATTCTTTGTCCACATTATTAAACATTCGGCCCTTGCCTAACTCTCCTATCATGTGTGTCTCTCTGACTAACTCGCTGATCTTGCCGCCAACGCGGTCATCGAACTTTTCGCCGTTCGGCGTCAATTGAGGGTCCTTTTCGCCTTCCTTGAGATACAGTCCAATGACAATGCCATTCAACTCGCACTTGGTGCGCACTTGCATGCAATGCGCTCTGGGTACAAAGGAAATGACGCGGTTGTAACGAAGCAGTCCCAAAAATGATTTACTATAACATGTCGCTTGAGATCTAGCCATAATTATTGATTTAGAACGCGCTCTGAACTTAGAAAAAAATAGTATAAGAAATAATCACTTGCACTTCAATTTACAAATATATCGAAAGGGGAAAAAAACTTTCTTGTATAAATAATATTCTGTTTTATATAAAAAAAAAATCCAGTGCGCTACGTTTAACTTAAACCGAGAAACTGACTACATGAGTTTAACAATTTGGCCAAATGGGCTATTTGAAGTTTCAATTTAGTGAACTTTGATGAAAACATAATTTCAATAGATTCTCATGCTAGGTGCCAAAGCAAACCACAACACTTGAATATATTATGTTTTATGTTCCGATGTCGTTTTGTTTGTCGTCCGACGGAGCAATATGCGCGATTTTGCAACACTCTGTTCATGGAGCGAAAAGGGTTAATTGGTTTTATTTTGCAAATATTCTGAGCTGAATTATTTTTATATTTTTTTTATTTTTTGTAGTTTATCTTTTAATATTTAATTTTTTCATATTTTATATATTTTATTTAAATTTTTTTTTTTATGTTTTATATTCGGATTTTAGATGCATAAAATGTAGAATTTTATGATTGTATTCCAAAAAATTGCATATATATTTTTTTTAACATTTATTTAGCTTTAATGTTGGAATACTGATTTTGTTTTAATAGCAAACCCGATAATCGGTCCTTCTCAGTCGAAGTGTATGTAAATTATTGACACGCCGATTGACAAGCTGGAAACTTGCTGAAAATTCCAGCGACAATTATGACACTTACGGATGGCAGTGAAGTTAACACCAGTTGCAATTTTTATGTGAATGATTAAATTTGCAATTATATAAATCAGAAACAACAACAACTGACATAATGAGAAATTTGCTGGCGCGAAAATGTCGGGACTGCAAAAAAATGCAGCGTAGCCGCAGACGAAACACGTAAAAGCAATAAAGCAATAAATTGCCCAATTTGAAGGACTATTGTAGCCAATAATTTGCACAGCCACTTGGCCGGTTGGTTGGCCGATTGGTTGGCCGGCTGGTTGGTTGCCTGGTTGGCCACACACACACTCACACACACACGCACACGCACGTACACATACGCATACAGTATATACGAGTGTGCATGCTGCGCTTGTGCCCATATAATTTCAACAAAAATATGCACATTTGTCAATGTCGCGTGATTGATGTGGTCGAACGCATTTCCGCCAAGCAGCCGCCGCGACGGTGGAGCCAAATAAACAAAAAAAAAAACAAACACACGTACAGTAAACAACATGTAATGCAACACACACTCTCACACACAGAGCTGCAAATGAAAACACAGAGAAACAATTTTTTATATGTATATATATATATATATAAATATCCAGAAAAAAAAGTATATGTTGGCGTGTGTGGTCCCAAAGGATGCCGGCGGCTGTGTTGGCGACATTACGCGATTTTACGCATGATTTAAAATTAATGACAGCGGCGGCGGCGACGTTGGTAACGGCGACGGCAAGAGAGTTGTAGCATACTGCTTACACACACACATATAGCCACACTTATACGAATATAATCAACACACCTTAGCCCCCGCACTTACGTGGAGTCAGTTGCCATGCAGGATGTTTAATTTCCTAAATGCATAAATCTCACTAATACGCACAACAAAATCTAAGCGCGGCTTATGCGATTGCCGCTTTTTTGTGTCCAACAACAACAAGAGAAACAGCAACAACTGCCATAGCTACGAGCACAACATCCGAAAATCATAAACAAACTTCAAAGGACATTTACAGTGGACAGTCGACAACTGCCCAATGCTGGCGAGAGAGCACAAAAAAAATGCCAACCAATGTTGAGCTTATTACGCACAGATACGCGACTCACGCACACACACACACACACACACACCTGGGCAACCGCAACAATTCAGCTTCATTTGTGCTGCGGCAAACATACACATACAAACACATGCACACTCCCACACTCATGTTGCATATATATCCACATTCGTTACGTATACGCAACGTTGTTCGTACTTGTGCGGCGATAACGGCCTACTTGCCCACGAAAAGCTTTCATTTCTATTTCCGTTTTCACTGAACGCCACCGCACAATGCCCACTTTAAACTTACGACTGTTTCGGTTGGGTAGGGGCTGTAAGGGGGAGGGGCTGGCTCAGCTCACCTTTTTGCCGAGCTGCGAAACCGTGCTGCTTGTTCGTTGCGTTCGCTCGTTCGTTCATTTGTTTGTTTGTTTGTTTGTTAGTCAGTTTGTTTGCCGGTTTATGCTTTAACCTACGGAAAATTGCCAATTGTTGTTGGCATGCAAATTTATGGCTTATTTGTTTTGCCTTTTGTGTATGTGCCTGGAGTGTGTGCGTGTGTAGAAGCCGCTTACTACACGTCAACCCTTTTCAGAAGACTAATTCGTTTAAGCAGGAGCGTTTCAGCAAAGAAGCAATTCCTGCAAATTCTTGCACACTTGAGAAAAAAACCGAATTGTACCAAAATTAAAGTGGAGTTCGGTTTCAAAAAATCTATTTTTTGCATTACCAGTTGGTTGTATTCTTTTTGTTATTAATATTTGCCACAGGTAGTTGTTTAATTTAAAAACTAAGTTCCAACTTTCCATTTCATTTGGGCCTCTTTTGGGGCGCCCTTTAAGTCCGCCTCTGTTAATTTTTATATCAAGTTCTCTCATTGTTTTGCCGCTTTTTGACCCAAATGCCGGAAGTCAGACGATGGAAAAAGCAAAAGGCTTTGACCTATCAGTAGATTTCATTAACAGAAATTTAGATAAGCATTAGTGTTGATGCCAACCGAAGGCGTGGACGTGGATTTGGGCGTGGATATAGATGTGACTGTGGATAACTTGATGTGGTTTCGTGTCTGTGCAACAGTTTTTGGCGACTTTAATGTGCGGCCAAATAACAAAGTAAATGTTGGCAGCGAGTAGAGAGTGAGTACAGCATCTGGAAAGTGGAAAATCTCTGGCGACTCGTAAATTTGCTAGTTGCATAAATCACGCAATTGAATTCTAATTTTTGGCTCACATTGCAGTCGTTCGGAGGAGAGCTTATTGTGCGTCTGCCTGGGCTAAAATCAATCATGATTTTTAATGCACAAATGGGAGCAATTACAGTCAGACGAGCAGACAAAAGAATTTACACTTGATTTATTGTTGTTTAGCCTGCAAGCTGATTGTTAATGTTTATTACAAGTGAATGTGTGTGTGGCTGTGTGTGTGTGCCTGAGCCACAAACCTTGCAAAGAGGCATGGTCGAAATGCAGTTGAAGTCTTTTGTTCTATGCTGGCAGCTGCAAGTTCAATAAGCCACATCTCGTATGTGGCTGTTGTGCTTGTAAATAGTTCTTTCTACCCTTACAGAGGGTATCATAAATACGTCAATAAATGCGTCATTTACACAGCCTGAACTATTTTTTACTACGCAAATATCGAGAGGTAAAAGGAAAATAAAAAGGTAAGTATTAAATAATTGAAATCCCAGAATCCTTATATGTGCATATATATTTATGAAAGACTCCGTTCTGTCTTATATGCTTTGCAAGGGTATTAAATGTTGGGTCTGCCAAAATGTAAACTTCTTTCTCGTTTTTGAAATACTCAGCTTGCTGTCCAGTAAACAATGCGTCGGGTGAAAGTAAAAACAGCAGCTAATTGACTGTTTACGATTCAATAAATCGTTTAAATAGGTACACATCTTGCCAAGCAATCAATTAGCACCTCCCCCGCCGCAGACAAAGCCAAATATTGTCTCATAGTTGGCTGCGCCGCATCTATAAAACTGCTGCCCAAATTCGGCGAAGACAGACGACGTCTAATGCTCGCCATGGCTAAGTTCAGTTCAGTGCTTATTGGGCTGCTGCTCAGCATTTTGAGCTGCTTGGCAGCCGCTGATCTTCGCGCTGATCTGCGTGATTTTATGGCGCTGGTGCCGCGTCGTCGCATCGGTCATATAGCGGCGCGATACTATATCTTCGATCCGAAGTTTCGGCAAGCCGTAGAGTTTCTGCGCAGCGATGAGTTCGCCAAGACCTGGCGGCAAATGCGCATGGCGCCGGACTTTGCCGATCTGATCGACTACGTCACGGAGTCCGGCTCCGGCTACGATGTGAGCAGCGTGGTGGACAAGCTGCCCAATCGCCTGCGTATCTTTCAGCTGTCGCGTGTAGTGCCCGTGGATATGATGCTGCGCCGCGACTTGACCACATTCCTGCACGAGGCACTCCAAAGTCTGCCGCGTGCTCAGTTCTACGGCTTGATGGTGCGCAAGGTGCGCGAGGGCGGAGACTTTGCCAAACTATACAAGGCACTGCGAGACAGTGAGTTCAGGGAGCTGGTGAACACGGCTCGGGTGAGTGTGGCGGAAAAATACTTGTGAGCATTGAAATTAAATTTTTACAAGAATCGCCTTGCAGCACGCAAAGGACTTGCAGACGCCGCTGAGCAAGCTGAGCAAAAAGCACATCAATGTGGATGAAATCATACAAATCGCGTTTGAGTTGATAAGTTGGGGCCCGCAGGTACGCTGAACGGTTGCCCCGGGCAGCAGAGTTATAATTAAGTATTTATGAATTAAATTGAAGCACATGACTCATTAAATAAGCGGCAAGCACAAAGAACCCACAGCCACACACAAATGCACAAACACACTTAAAGTTAAGATGCTTACTCGAAAAACATGCAAAGTACGGCTTAAGTGCTTTTCAAACCTAAAATGCGAGCGTGCCGGGGTCAGTTCCGGTACGAGTATTCAAAAAAAAAAAGGGTTCATACACAGCCCAGCCGCATTTCGTCTTTAATTTCGGTGCGACGTGCCAGAAATGACAAGAGCTTTGAACTTTTGTGAGTTGTTGCATCGATTTCTCACCAATTTTCTGGCGAGGGAGCGAGCGAGGACAATCCAGACCCCAAAAGGACCGAGAGAACAAAGCCTCATTTGCAATATGGAGACAGGCTGCACAATATGCATTCATTAGAGCGGTTTATGCGTCAAGGCACAGGAGAGGCACAGCAAAGCTGGTACTTGCCGCTTGCCACCTGCCACCTGCCACCTGCCACCGGCAACCTACCAGTTGACGCAATTTGCAAGTAGGTAAAGCCCTTAATGGTGGCTTCTGTGTTATCTATTCCAGCAAATGAGCATTCGCATTCGTATTCACATTCACACTCACATTCACAATCAGAAGCTCGCATATTGAAATGCGTACGTAGCATTGATTTGGCCTATGCCATGTCAATTAAGTTGTTGTCTGCGTGGCACCACAGCGTGTGTTGCATGCCAGCGATATTTTATGCTATGCAACGCACAATTTGCCAACATCGACACAGTTTTTATGCTTGCTGACTTGCCACAAAATGCGATCATATAAGCGCGCCTCAAAGCCTGCCGTTGCCAAGTTTATTTTTAAGAAGCAAATTGCTGCCGTTGCCGTTGCTGTTGCTGCTGAATATGCAACAAAAGTTGCAACTGCAACTAACGCCCACAACAAGCAAGCGACGACCCACATCATTTTGGCGCAGTTTTTGGCTGTCGCTGTCGCTGTTGCAGAGGCGTCCAATATAGTCGGAGCTCAACATGGAGTTGGAGCTGGAGTTGGCGTTGGCGTTGGTTCTGCTTCTGGGTCTGGTTATGATGCTGCCTCTAGAGCTGCAGCTGCAACTGAAGCGGGCATTGATGGCGACTGCCTGCTGCTGGCGGCTGCTGTTTCTCCATTTTGCTTGACATTAATTTTATGCTATGCAGTGTGTGTGCTGTTCTGCACCAGTTGTACTCTGTACTCAAAATAATGAAGAGCATATTGTTTCTGTTACACTCTAGAGACCCCAGACTCCGGGAAAGTATAGATCTTCCCATTTCATGCACATCTCAAAGTTATTTCAAGTAATCGACAGCATGCTCAAATTCCAGGACTGGGATATTGCAATCCTTTTTTTAAGCAAGTCTAGAAGCTTACGGCCAGCTTAACCGGCCTTTCGTGTAGTGGAAGTTAGCGAGAATGGCTGCTCAGCGCTGGGCATAGAGAATCTGTTAGTCGTGCACATCCGACTATGGCCCACTTATTTGTTTGTTGTTGTCGTTGCTGTTGCTGCAACACTAACAATTTGCGCGAGTTTGTTGCTGCGTGCCAGGGAGCCAGCGCCAGCTCCAGAGCCAGAGCCAGAGGCAGCGCCAACGGGGCAAAACGCGCTTAAATTGTCGCATTTGTCTTGTCGTTTTAAGTTGCCGCCACGCTTGGTGACTGCTGCATTGCATAAACTTTGTGTAATCCTTTCAATTTGTTGCATACTTTTAGGCGGAAATTAAAATAACAAGCTCTGCGCCGCGGGCAGGCAGCCACCTAGCTGAGGCGGCTGGGGGATAGCTAGGCAGAGCCAAGCTCTATTCGATTTGCTAAAAACTTGCTCTACACTTGTTCTAAAACACACTCACACACATGCACAGACGTACATACAATGTTGACTATGACCTGGCCTTGAGTAGTTGCCACCATGTTTTGTGCTCGCAGCAACTTGTTTGCCTGGATTCGGCCTCCTGCTCCTGCTCCTGCTGTGCATTAATTAAGTCAAAGTGCGCCTCCATTTGCTACCATTTGCTGATCCTATTGTAAGTTTTCACTGGCCTTTCTAAACTAATCAAATTGTATATTTGGTGCTGGCAGTTCCACAAACCACGCAGAGAGCGTAATTCTCGGATTTGTTGAACGGGCTAGTTTCCTTCGGGTCTGTTCTTCTAACTCATGCGCCAGCTGCTGCTGTTGTTGTCATTTGGCATTCGGCATCAAGTAAATAATTACTGCTTTAAATGCTTGTCAGGCATTGTCCATACCTTTCCATGCCCTTGCCAAGACTGCGGCATTTGACTTGTGATAAACTTGGTAACTCACACAATATTAAATTTTTCAATTTATGTTTGCTTTAAGTGGGAAAACTATAATTATTGTTGGTTGGCATCTGTAAATAGGCTGCAAAGTAAAAAATAGACTGGAGTAGATATTTATACAACCAAGAAACGAACATTTTTTTGGCCTAAATCCATCCACTATTTGCACTCAGCTGTACGTTCGAGTTTTTTTAGGGTATACATGTTTCGGCGTGCTGTTCTTCTGACGGTTTCAACTCATGCTTGAACGCAGCCGTCGTTCTATGTATTTTAGCTTTGGCTAAATTCAATTCAGCTCGCAGCCCTTTTGGCTTTTGTTGGGGAACATTTTTGAGTGGCTGCGTCCGATGCGTCGCTTTTTCTGGGTGGTGCTGGCTTGTTACCGCCTTAACTGTAATATCAGTTACAGAGCCAGCAGTGGCTTCCACTTCGTATTCCAATTGGAGCACAGTTTGGTGGCCATGAACCGCTCCTCTCTGATTTCAATGGATGAGCGCTGAGTGGGGCTTTGTTGCTCATGGCCTTTGGCTTGCTTGCACCGCTCCGCTCAGGACTTCTTGTGCCTGTTGGTTATACTTTACTTATTTTGGCCAGATTGTCTGTATTTGCGGTGGTGCGTTTGTTGTTGATGCGTACGTGATCTGGGTGCTACTCTGGCTCGCATGCCCTTTGCTTAGCAATTAGTTTTAAAATGGCTGCCTTGTTGGCTGTCCATATTGATGTGCATGTACTCCGCCGCCATCTCAAACTCCCGCTGGTGCTACAACTCCGTCTCGAACTCGTACAGAGCTGTACGCTCATTAGAGCTGACCTCCAAGCATTGTAAAAACAGAAATGGATTTTTATGCTCTGTCGTCGCCGCTTGACGCTGCCATAAAAGGCAGCAGCCGGGGTGCTGGTAGCGTAATCCAGCCAAACAATGCCCCGACCCCTTGTGGAGCCAGGGCAAACAAAAAATCATCAACAACAACAATCAATGTTGGCCGTAATCAATTAACGATTTAACGTTCGGAGTGGATCCGGCCAACTGGTCGTCGCGACCCGTCAACATTTGGCGCCACCTCCGATCCCCAGCTTTACCTCCACCTTCCACCTTTTGGCGGCAGTTTGTGCTTGTGTATGTCTGTGTGTGGGTCATGTGGCTGCGAAATTGAAACGCACCACATTGACAGTGGCTGCATGAACACGTCATTCACACGCACAAGGGTTGGGACTAAGTCCACTGGTGGAAGTGGCAAGTGGCGAGTGGCAAGTGGATGTCGTTCGCTGCCGGACTTCAAATAATTGACAGGGTTGTCGTTTGTGCCGCATCATACAATAAAACCTATATGAATTTCCCTTCAATATAGACGGCATAAGGCTATTTTTGATTAAACTACAGAAAACGCAAAAGCCCTATGAAAATCTATTTTCAGTTAATTTAGACGAAATGCTAATAAATTTTGCCAACAAATATACAATAAATTTAATATGTTAAATTTTTGTTGGTTAACATATAAAAGTACGAGAAAAGTATATTGAAAAAAAAATAATAATAACAACATATTTAATTATTGTTCGAGTTATTATTAAGTTCTTATACTATACACGAAAATTTATGTCTTCAATCCAATCTCTTTGTCAATTTATTAATTGAAGTATTATTTCTTGAATTGATTTACTTTTAGTTTGATCTTATCATTTTTCTTAATGGCATTTGACTAACTGAAAACTTACAAATAAGTATTAGCTTGACTTTAATTTATTTAAGACTTTGGAAATATGTTTGATTGAATTTCAATTACTTGAGCATTTGTATATCAAAACTTAAGTTAATTTATAGGCGTACTTTATGGAGTTGAATTTAAGTAATGGCAGGTTTTTATTGAATTTCATTCAATTAAGGCCACTTGACAACCCTTAGATCAGAGCTTGCTACGCAAAAGTTTATGTGGGGCTAATGTGATTACTCCTGTCATTATTGCGTTGCTTTCCCTGTCTCTGTCTCCGTCTCCCTCTGTCATGTGGCTGTGTCCTTCTCGCTCTATCGCTCTGCCATTAAATTGACCGCTGGCTGATTCTTGTTCATGTGTGTGTGTGTGTGTGCCAGGGTATGTGTGTGCGTGTCTGTGTGCATTTAACTGCACGTTTGCAAACTTTGAACCGCGTTGCGTCTGGCCCTGCATCTGTATGTGTGTGTGTGTATTTGATTGGTTATTGACTTTTAACAGAAAAATTGATGTAATGCAATTAGTTTTGCAGCTAAACCGTTTGATGATTGCACAACAACAACACGAACGAAGCGATAAACGAGTCCTTTAGCCCGAATCAGTCCTGTAAGAGCATAATGCATGGGCGGCAATCGCTGGCAAATGCTGACGAGGACTGTTCGGACGGGAGGCGGAGGCGGTGGCGGTGGCGGTTGCGATGCCATTGCCAGTGGCAGTTGCGCGCTGATGCTGGGCAGAGGAATTCTTATCTTCTATATGTGGCAGGACACGATGACGCAACCATTAGTCAATTGTAAATTGCTAAAAGCTCAAACAGTCCATTTCAATTGATTTGCTTACGGGGCGTATGATTAATGAAAGGCAACACATAACAGCAAATTATCGCTCAACTCTTGATTCTTGTTATATCAATTGCCGTGCCTTTGGGCGTTCCAATGTT